TCATTGATATATTTACTTTATTGTAAATCTTTTGTACATGGGTAACATCCACTATTGATACCTTATTAATAATATACTTCATAGTTTTTATCTCAAAAAAAAAAATTAGCATAACTAAGTTTAAAATACAAGGCAAGCAACATTGTTAGGAAAAATTTAAAACCAGCTATACTGATTAGTGTCGAGTGATTATAACTAATAATGATGCGATGTAGCTTTTGGTTGGAATTGGCGTCTCTTTTATGTTACATATCTTTCAATTTGTTGGCTGAGAACATGTCCTTTTGATTTATACATTTTATTGAGAAATTGTGTCCTTCTCTGAGAATCTTTCCTTTTCATATGTTTTTATTAGGGATCGTACCATTAAGGTATGGAGTCTTGATGGTGTCTCTGATGATCTGGAGCAACCCATTCATTTGAAAACAAAAGCAACTGTAGCAGCGCATGATAAGGATATGACTTCTTTGGCAGTTGCACCAAATGACAGTTTAGTTTGTAGTGGATCTCTGGTTAGTAGTTTACATTTTGTTGCCCGCATTTGTTTACACATTTGCATGCACACAGATTTGTGTATGTATGTACATATACATATGAGTGGAAAAATTAAATTTGGCACTCAAGGCTTAGGCTACCTTATTTTGTTTTGCTTTTCAATTTACTGTAAATTATAGTATAACTCATCTTTTAGCTTTTTTCAGTTTCCATACTACCTATGATTTGGTTTTCTTCTTTGTGCTACCTTACTACCCGTCTTTTTTGACAGTTTGTCACTATACATAAGATTTTTAGTTTTTTTAAAGAATATTTGCATATGTTTGTGCTTACAACAATGTACATGTGGAAGTTCAGGACCGAACAAATCAAAATTTGAAAATTTGGAAAAAATATTCTCAATATTAAAAATTAATTATTTTTAGTAAAATAACAAAAAGACAAACCACAAGTATTGAATCCGCGTGGAAACAAAATACAGGTACTGAAAGTGAAAACAACCCACTAAAAGGTTTTAAACTGTAATATGCTCTTCAGTTTATACAAATCCCTTTCTTGTCTATTCAATTTTTGTAGATTTCCTAGAGTTTTAATATAATTATGGATTGATGGGCTCTCTGTCACATTACTTTAATCTTTTTAAATCCAAGAAATTTCTATTTTCAACAGATTTACAGTTGGTTCAATTTTAATTTATTTACTATTGTTAAGAATAACAAATACATGATTAAAAAAGAGGAGTAGCTTGAATCAGCCACTCCGCTCTCTCTCAAAAGCCACAGGTTGTCAGGACATGGCCGGTCCAACTAGGATCCATTACCCACTTGACTGACTCAATTTTATCATGTTATTACTATTATTTCAAGTTCATGTAGGAGTTGATGGGTAAATCAAATTAAGGGTTTTTTGTTTAAAGCCTGTTAAACTAATGGTTATAATCAAGCCTTTGTGGAGTTAATTATAATAAAGTTAGAGGTAGGTTTCTAGTCCATTATCGTGTAATTGAAGAGAGTTAAGTGTAGCTTTCTAATAGTACAGGAATCTCTTTATTTATTGGAAGAGATATGTTCAAATTTACCGATTGTCTCCCGGCCTCTCAATTTGAGGGGTTAAATAATTAGGAGTCTAGAGATACCATGACAGGGTTACTAACTCCATACTTTACCTTGTTTATTTCATCTAAAACTATCAATTGGAGGATGACGTCAATCTCTATGTTATTCTGTAATCCCGAAAAAGGAAAACCAAACAATTATGATTGAACCTTTTTGTTAGTTTTCCTTTTTTATTTTTTTCCCTTTTT